GTGTGTAGTTCTGTATCTAACCGAAAAGGTACGACTTTATCAACTGCGGTGCGGTACCGTATAGTAGGCCCGAGCTGTGCCGAGTCGCAGCCACCACGATTTTTCCCATAACACTCGTAGATTGAATCTGACGCGGCGATATTCCAAGACGAGTGAGGGTCGAGTAGCGGGGACGACCAAGGGGAAAAAGAAAGAGACGTACAGCGCCAGAAACTAATACGCCCCATATTAAAGAAGTTTTTAAGAGAGCAGAGACGAACGCGGATCGTTCTCTTCGCGCCCCACGATCACCATTTTAAAAATATCTCGTTTCACGTTAAAAAACTAATTTCGTACCCTCCTTTTAAACCGGAAACGGTTTGGCGGAAACGCGCGGATCGTGAAACATTTCGTTTTGTTTCGGATATACTTATAGCAATATCGGCAGGGTTGGGCTTGTAGTTTTGATGTAATGTACCGTATGATCGAAAAAAAATGCGCCAAAGACGGCTGGGAAGTCACAATCGTTGATAACTTTGGCGAGGTCAATCTCTAGAAGTTACAATCAGAAAAAAAATGCATTGTAAAATGCACAATCAATCACGTTAAAATATATAACTCGTTCTTTGGAATTCGATTTACCACCTAAATAAAAACTGCTGATAATATAACATTATTATATATATATATATATATATATATATATATATATATATATATATATATATATATATATATATATATATATATATATATATATATATATATATATATATATATATATATATATATATATAATAAAAATTAAAGCATTCGAAATAAAGTGAATACTATTTTATCAGATATCTAATATTTAGTCCTTTTAAAGTAATTATTACCCCATATGTTTTAAAAGAACCACTTTCAAAATAAACCGGCATTGCCTTATTATTTTTGAAATATGTTGCTTGTCTATTTATTCCAATAAGACGTCCTTATAATAAATTTATTTTAAGCACGAGAGTGCTTAAAATAATTTATTTCTATAAAAATTGCTAACAGTTTAAATACATTTCTCGTAGGCTTTTGCCACGTGATTAATACTCTCCAATAGAAAGTCATTCGAGATTGGACATCGAAAGATGGTGTTTGACGGGATAAGCCCAATCAGCCACATATTTTTATATGATTTTTGTCGTGTTCCTAAGTAACACTTTTGACAGTTCCGAAACTGGTTAGGCATCGTGATGGAACAGAGAACAACAATCATTAATCTGTTAGTTTTTTTGTTCGGGAAGTTGATGGAAGAGAAAAATTTTAGTGCGCATGCCACTCCAGACGCTGGTCGAACACACCTCATGTTTCTTTGGTATACTCGTTAAAAAATTAATTCAGAATTAAGATTGATTCTCACTATACCTTCCGTTTCCATACCATATCCGTTCCGTATTTTTTATTGTATTGATGCTATACGTAAGCTTCCGTTCCGTATCAGTTCCATACTTTTTATTGTACAATTTATTACATTACGAAAGTTTTATTTTAAAAATTTATATCATTTGAAAAAGGTAATAGATTTAATTAAGAGGTGAAAGAATAAATAAATATCAGGAAAATGTTAGAAGAGCTGGTATACAAATGTAAGAACTTGACAACGCTGTTTCCGGTACGCTTCAGTCCGTCCGCTAAAAAAATGTATGGAAGGAAAGGATATGGAACGGAAGGGAAACGGAAAGGATAGTGTGCATTGCCTTATTCATTTAAATTATATAATATTTTATGTAAACGGAAGGAAGCTGATATGGAAGGTATAGTGAGAATCAACCTTTAATCTTCAATTTTTTTACCTCTTTGAAAATTGGCACATAGACGTAGAATCATATTATTGTAAAGAACATTTCCGTGTATCGACGTAGATGAAATCTTTGATATGGGTGAAGCATTTTGCCATTAAAATACAAATTTCATTAAAGCAAACATCCACGATTAGTTTCAGTGATGAGCAAAGAAAGCTGCATGAATATAGGCGAAAGTCCGAACAGATATCGTAAACCCGTCCCTGCTTATACGTCTTACGTTGGGGACTGAAAGAGCCATAATGACGATGGAAGAATTGTTACCTTTTCGGATTTCTACACCGATTTCTGGGAACGGTGTCGGAAGGAAGCGAGGGGCGCGACCGAAGGAAGCTATTCATTTAGCACGGCGATAATTAAATACAGAGCAAAATGATAAAGTTAACAATCGAGCGAAGGAAATTAGTGGCGCGCCGGCCTAGTTTTCCATAATTACGTTGATTCCGATATACAAGGCATTTCTTTTCAGTAAATGTTGCTCTAAAGGTAGCCACACACATACAGTTTTTTTCTTAAGGCAAAACTGGGCAGTCCAAGTCTTAAGAGTCTACTACGCTGTACTTTCGTATCGCTCTCAGGGGTCAGGTAAAGCGGGTGTGTGGCCGAAGAAAAGATATATTAAATTTCAGAAATCTGCCTAAGGCTTAGCCCGATCCTGTCGTGTTAAGCCACATACCAAATTCCAAACACCCGTGCTTTGATTAAGACTTGACTAAGGTTTGCAGAGCTTCAGCATTTACCATAAAATAGCGAGCGATTTGTTACAAAACCATATAAATTATATAACACTGTAATCACAAAACTTGAATCTATTTCCGTATTGTAACGGAATTTTAAATTATATCTTTATTTTCGAGAAAATTTAGTCCAAACATAAAGAATATTTTGTTGATGTTTGACCATCAAAATCTTAAAAATAAAGAAGTTGTCTAAAAATTGTGCTACAATACAGATATAGTATAATCTTTTATCTTTAATTTCCTTCTTTATTTGTGTAAAAATACCCAGCCAGTTTTACAGAAAACGGTTAAATGCCGGACGCTTATTTTGCTACTTTTTCGGACTAGTAAAATGGACTCTTAAGGATAGTAATACAGTTTTCCCTGACGGCAGAACTGAGGAGTTAATATGCCTTGGGTATTTTATTTAAATACAGATTGGTGATATATTTTTATTTTTTTTTTGATTTTTTGATTTTTCTTGTACTAGGGCTCTCTTTTGTGGTAATAAAATTTATTTTATTAATACAGACGAGAGTTTATTAAAATTATATTTATAACTTTTAAGGTAAAATAAAAACACTAAATCACCACAATACACCAAAACACTTTTACTTTTACACTGGACGCGCGTTTCGCTAACCATGTTAGCATCATCAGCAGATGATTATAAACTGCAGTACATTACACAGATATTGTACATTCATTGGCATTAACTAATTAGGTTAGCCTGGTTATTTGGAGGGTGTTAATGCATTGGTTAGCCTGGTTATTTGGAGGGTGTTAATGCATTGGTTAACCTGGTTATTTGGGAGGGGGGGGGTATTAATGCATTGGTTAGGTGGTTATTTGGTGGGGTTGGTTGGATTTTACTACCACTTGCTTTTGGTAAATCCTAGGTTTTACCGCATTTCGGACATTTACAGTAACATATACTAAGGGCTGGCAAAGGTTAGTCGAGATATCCGTATGTAAGAAGAGTACAATGCGTTTATAATGTACTGAACAAAGAGAGGACAGTAAACACGTTGCCAAACATATGAAATAAACCGAGAAACTGTGCACATCGCTAAGAGACGTGGAAGGGGATATAGCAGATTTGTCGCAGTTGACCGGTCGACCCAATCAATACCTCTGTCAGTACTTAAAGTTCTAGGGAAAGGTGTACGTCATGCGATCAGCTTCACGATTTAATTAAGTCTCGTGATACTTAATTAGTTCATTTATTAACAAATCGTTGTAATTTTCCCTATAGCTTGAATTTTTTTAAGTGCAAGCTAGAAACACTTGCATTTTTGGTAAAAATAAGTGGAATTGAGTGGGTGTTCGATAGTGGTCGCGCTATTAGAACTCTGAATTCAAAAATCGATATCTCGAAATCTATGAGAAATAATAGATTGTAGTTTTTCCAAGAACTTTGTTAATATTTCTGCTGTATTTTCTTTGTAGACAGTATGTGAAAATCTTTATCAATAAAAAAATTACACGATTGCTGAAAATTGCTATGCTCTCAAAGTAAATGGATGAATTGTTTACAATTTTTGAATAGAAAAAACAACCTTATCGAATTTTTCTTATGTAAACATATTGTAAAATATCCGATCTTGAAAATAAAAAAAAAGTTTCAATATCTAAAGTGGTTCTTGAGTTATGGCCTGTTATGTGTTAAAAAGTTGAATTTTTAAATTATCGCGATTACTGACGTTTCCTCGTTATAAAAAAATGACACCCTAACGATATCCTTGATATCCTTATAATTCCATTTTAGATACTCAGAAACATGTCTAATGATTTTATCTAGTTATCTCTTGAAAAAAAAGTCTTTTAAAAATAAGCGGTTTGCGATCGTAATTTTACTTTACTTCATAGGGAAAAGCGTATCGGCAACGCCGCAACAGCACATCGCCGCGCGTCGCGTCGGTCGGTCGCATTTCTCTCGCTCCGACTTAATAAGATCCCTATGCGATTTACTTCCACACATGTAAATGCCGACCCAAAAGTAACAGTTGCCAACAGGGTATAACTATTCTGGCAGATATATAGGTTTCGCGTAAACTAATCTTTTTTTGATGGTTAAATTATGTCGTAAATGTGTGACTCAATATCGTTAAGCGACAAATTTATCCGTTATAAATTTCGATTTTATAAATATGATCGTGTAAAATATTTACATGAAAAAGACTTCCTCAATTTATTTTTTTATATTTTATGGCCATGGAGACACTATTATTCATATACAGCTAAATTAAGAATACTGAGAATGTAAATAATTTAATCTTGTTAAAGTTTAGAGTATATAGACGCGGGTTTAGATTTTACACAGAACATAATATAAAACAATGAATAGCTGATATAAAAAAGTATTCAAAAATGATTAAAGGTTAAATATTTTTGCTAGATATTTACAGTTACCTATTACAAGAGTGATTAATTTTCGGAAAAAATAATAATAAAATAAACTACTTACCGGATGGATCGTTGAGGAATGCTAAAAAGATACCTTTATTTTTGTCGCATAATTACCCGATTTTCTTAAATGTATACCATTTACAGTATAAAAGTTAAGAAAATATTGAAAATGTGCATATAAAATTTCCAAATAAAACCATCTCTCTTATCAATCAATGTTAACTCTAACATTTTGAATGAACGTTAAAATTATAGCATTTAAAATCAAACAAAAATAATTTGTTTTTTTTAACTGAAGTTTTTAACACGAGAAGGATAAAAAACTATAAAAAAAATCCATGATAAATTTGAAAAGTTTTATTGCACCATTTATCTCGCAGAAACAATGTAAATAAAAAGAAAGTCATACCTTTTACTTAGATTGTTTCTCTCAAAACAATGAAAGAACTATTAGTTACGAAATATCAATTACAATTTAAACAAAATCTTCGTTTGAAGGATATTCAACTAAACCATTTTACAAGGAAATTTATGTCAATTAGAAACTGTTCTTTCAAATGTTTTACGGTCGTAATAGACACAACAATGAAACACGTACCTGTGGGCACATTTTGCATGAGTATTTCCTTGGCTGAACTCCGCCATTTTGCATGCCGCCCATCTTGGTGGCGTTGATGGGTTGGGGTACCACGAGCAGCGCGGGACTCGATCCTGGAACTCCCGGACTGGAACTACTCGACGTTGACCTTCCTGAAGTGTAGAGACCTGGAGTGCCCGCCATGTGGTGGTCCTCCATACCCGCGTAAACTGGAAGAGAAAAATTAAATACTTAAACTACAAGTTAGTTTTAAGCAAGGGGTAAACCGCAGAGGAATTATGGTGTACACTATGAAGGAATTCTACAGGAATTCCAAGGAATTACGAGGAATTCCAAGGAATTCCATAGGAATTACTAGGAATTCCAATTATTTCCGTAAGAATTCCAAGGAATTCCTTAGAAATTTAGAGGAATTCCACAGGAATTAAGAGGAATTACAAGCAACTGTATAAAAATTAACGAACATTAGTAAACCATGATACTATAATAGGTAGTACTAAATTTAAAGAAAAACGTTTTGCAGGCGATTTTTTACTATCCGTTTTTCGTTTTCGCTTCCAAAATTTCCCAATATCAAATATCTACACAGGTTAGATATTCTTTTAATTTAATATTGTACCCTCGATTATATATCTAAAATATTTTCCAATAGTACGGCCGAACCATCCCCGAGAGATCTACTTATAACGTTCCCTGATTTCGCCATTTTAAAGAAACCCTCATAAGATTTTTTTATTCAGTACTCAGAAAGTGTAAAGTTGATTTTTTCATTTCTTCGGAATAATACCTGGGTATATACTACAGGGAAATTAATACAACTTTAGGTGCTAGGGTTGCCAAGTGTCCTCCTTTCGGGAGGACAGTCCTCCTTTTAGAAGAAAAGTCCTCCTGCCTCCTTTTGCACCCAAATGTCCTCCTTTTACAATCTTTGACAAAAAAGTTCCTTAAACCATGATTTTGTGCTCAAAATAATAATTTTTCTGTAGCCTATAATAATTTATAGTTTGCATTTATTTTGTCTTTCTTTAATCTCGATGCTATTTCGCCCATTCAGCTGTCATAAACAAGATTGCTTCTGCATAGGTATTTCAGTTTTAGTTTTTTTCTGTGAATCAAAGATTCACTGTCGTGGCTGTATTTTGTAATGTTTTTTTTTCAATAAATCGTTCATGCAGTATTGCAATCCAAATATTTGTATACCCCCTCCCCCTTACCCCGCTTCAACAGGGAAATGTCCTCCCCTTGCTTTTGAAAAACTTGGCAATCCTATTAGGTGCACTTCATCAATGATACCGTGCGTAATCTTATGGAATTTACTGGTGATCGTATTATGACGTGCAACTGAAGTTTTATTAATTTCCTTTCCTATAGATACGAGTATAACTAGGTACCTATCATTTTCAAAAAATCCCGAGAAAAATTAATTTTAATAAGTAAGTGCCGACATATTTCCAGTATTTTTACCTCATGATCCCCTATTAGTCCTAAAATTTAACTAAAAAAACGTAAATCTCGTAATAGTACTTTTTATTGTTAGATCTAGTACTTATAGAGACATTAGACATTTATAAAAATCACCAGAAAATTCATAGCGGAACTGGGAAACCGAGGTGACAACGCTGGTTCAGACTGAAAGAGTTACCGAGTTCGTACTAAGGAATTCCAAGGAAGACCTTGAATGATTGACCTTGGCCTTGAAGACCAGGAATTCCAAGGAATTTCCGAAGGAATTACGAGGGATTCTGAGGAATTATTTGAGTAAAAGGAATTACGGTGTACACTTTTCCCTCTGCGGTTTACCCCTCGGTTTTAAGTATTTTTTAAATTGCACCGTCCACTTTTCTGTAGATAATTACTCTCTACAAGTAGGAGTCGTATTGACATCTAAGGGTATATTCCGTTGTTTACCTTGGTTATGGTTTTATGTTCCGTTTCTATCGGCTTCCCGAAAGTTTTCTTATTACGGAACACGGTTCCTGAAAAATTCGGTTATGTCATCAAACTAACCAGCGCGAGAAGGCTGGTTTTTCTGGTTTTGTTTGTCAATCAATGTCATTTATTTTTTTTTATTGGAAGTTCGAGTAAAATTCTCATTTAATTTCTAAATTTGTAATAATATTTTGTATTTACATCCAAAAGCAATAGAGCAAATTTCATTAACTAAATAGAATGACTTTTTAGAACCATTTAAACTCATCATGCAGCCATTCTCTCTTAAAGTCAGGAACATTTAAAGAAAACATGAAACACAAGACAACAAGTAATCGTGAATCTTTTGTAAGCTATAAAAATATAAATATTAAATAGATTTGTTTATTTATTATTGATCTGTTTTAATACTGGACCTGCAAATCTTAAAAAATACTTAATAAAGTACTTTTCAATATTAAACTTCATTGACAAGAAGAAGAAGCAAACGTAAAAGCAGAGAATGAGTACATTAAAAATGCATAAAAAATAAATTTTATAATCCTAGAGGTATTGAAATTTAGAAAACGTCAACATTTGATGTTTACAGTATTTTACCAAACCGTTCCGTATCAAACCGATGTTTTTCAGGAACCGCTCTTTACCGTAGTTTACCGGTCTGGTTCGCCTGGTTTTGCAACGGAATACAGCCTAAATCAAATTTCTCATGTCAATAAACTCCCAGTCACCAATTTTCATCCAAATATTGGCGTTACTTCAAAAATTATTATCGAAATAAAAATGAAATTTCTACACCCTTTATCTTTGAAACGAATCATTTTAGGACATACAGTAATACGAACTTTTTTATTTATTTTTATCTGCACTATATGCTGTCGAAGCATCAGGAATACAGTTCGGACCACCCTGTATACAGAAAAATGGGAGGGGGGCAATTTAAAAAAAAACTAAAAACTTTATCATAACTTTTTTTGTGACACCCTGTATACAACAAAATATCTTTAAGATATGCCACTCTATAAACCATGCAACAGCTGTATAAAACTTTTTTATATCTCCGACAACGGCGACAGGTATAGTGGACATCCTCGCCACTAATGGGCCACCCTGTTATTCTTCATTAATACTAATTACGATAATAATATTTTATTATGGTGTCTAGAAAATTCAACATTTTCAGTTACTAAAAAAATACTATACGATATATTATTGTTGAATTAACTAAATACTACAAACTAACATAAGAAAATCATATCTATGTTAAATTTTCTGGAAAAATGTAAAAAGGAGCTTCAGACGTATTTTAATGTAATGCGGTTGCAGTTATATTATCCAGAATGCTCTGTTAGAGCTATTAAGAACATTGTTTTAATGCGAAACGACGTAAAATACCAAAAGACAAATTTTAGTACCTCCATTAAATGTTTTATGCCAGATATCTATTAGAAGTTTAGCTAATATTTTATATTTTCTTGAGTTTAGTAGAATAGTAATTCTTAGATTGTATTTCATAATATGAAATACATCAACCATGATAATCACTACTACTGCCATTACTCGCTGACGAGTATTTGACACGCATCAGGAGATGGTCACCTAATGTTTTCTTTCATGAGATTTTCTGGACTGCAAAGCCCGATACGTGACGTTATCTGTCTACCGCACTCCGGACATTCAAAAATCTCATTGCTTTGTTGCCTCTTTACTTTTTGGTTGTCGCTGTTAAATGAGTTTACAATTCTTCTCAAATGAATTCTATTGTGAGCTGCTTCTTCCCATTCACCTTGCATGTTAATCCCCTTTAAGTTTTCGTGGAAAATGTCCTTGTACCTTTTGAGTTGTCCACCCGGCCTCCTCTTACCGTCTACAAGCTCACCGTAAAGCAGAGATTTTGGTATCCGGTTTTATGCATCGATACGTTTGAGACATGATGGAACCATTTTATTAATAAGAGTTGTCTAAGATGTCTCTGTTGCAACTTGTTTAATGCGTTTATGTGTCGGCGGTACGGCACCCAGGTTTCGCTCCCATACAACATGGTGGGGATTATTATTGCTCGGTATACTGCAAGTTTCGTTTTTGTGCTCAAGTCATGGTTGCAGAAAACCCTGTCTTTTAATTTCCAGAACGCTCTTGAAGCGCTACTAATCCTATGCTGAATTTCACAGTCGATATTGGCCTTTTCCGAAATCAAACTGCCGAGATAATTGAATTCCGCTACATATTCCAATAGTTCCTCTCCGATTTTTTAATAATAATCAATTCATAAATACAAGAAGATGTTTGAAGATTACAGTTGTCTGAAGATTGCAATTGGGGGTGCGAACCTTTTTGGGGGTGGTACAACAGCAAAATAAAACACCAATTCACTACAATAAACCAAAACACTTTACTTTTGAAGTAGATGCTCGCTTAACCATGTTAGCATCATCAGCAGATGATTAAAACTAAAACTGTTTAGATGACTACCAATAAAACTTAGTTCTAATCATCTGCTGATTATGCTAACATGGTTAGCGAAACGCGCGTCTAGTGCAAAAGTAAAGTGTTTTGGTATATTGTGCTGAATTAGCATTTTATTTTCCCGTTTGAAGATATTTTTAAAATAGAACTTTCTTGAATATTACTTGTAAAGAATCTTAAGAGCATTTGAAAACTGTTCACTATCCATTTACTTTACGATTATTAGTACAAATTGACATTAAACACTTTTTTATAAATTGTGATCCGCTGGAAGAATAACATCCTGAAAAACTCTACAACAAAAAGCTTATATCCAATTAATATCTATACTAATATATAAAATCCTTAAGTGACTGACATTCTGATTAATCACGATCCTGCTCAAACCACTCAACGTAAGAAGCTCAATTTTAGCATACAGGTTGATTCTAGGGTGTAGAGGTTCGATAAGAAGGGATTTCCAGGTGGAAATTCCAGTTCCAAGAGGGTGAAACCACCCCTCAAATATTACAATATTTTTTATTTAAAAAACGGTGAAGTTTCCGAAAAAACGCATACATAACACGTATATTATGTTTTGTTTTTATACATATTTTAAGATTTTTTAAAAATGTATACAGGGTGTTTCGAAAAATCTGGTCATTGATTAATTACGATCCTGCTTAAAGCGCTTGCGTAAAAAGCTGATTTGTGGAAAACAGATTGACTTTAGGGTGTAGAGGTTCGATAAGAAGGGATTTTTCGAAACTCGAATTCTAAGCGGGTGAAACTATCCCTCAAATATTAAAATATTTTTTATTTAAAAACCGGTGAGCTT